AATGTTGTTCTTAGAGTCTTTTTTCCTCGTTTCTCGTACATGGCGCTATCCTGTGCATAGAATGCAAACGCGTTCGTCGCCGGTGATGGGAAGTGTCTTTCCTGAAGGTATTAAAAATAAAAACTATCATTCACATGGCTCTGACGTAGTACAAGCGTATTTTTATCGATGAACGCAAGGTATACTGACTCACGCAATGAATCAAGCGTGCACTTGTAGCTAATAATTTTCAATTATCATCTAATAAAGCTAACATATTGAAAGTTCGCCTGGAAATCTCTATATAAATTACTCTCTTCTTCGATCAGCCTGGAAATACTTCTGATTAACTCGATTTCGATGAAATATGCTTCATAACGGTACGGTTTCGCGGTCCCCGTTTATCATTATGTCTATTCGTCTAATTAACGTTGGCATTAATTTCGTGGAATACGTGCCGGCGTACGTAGAGTAAAAGAACAGTGTTCACCCGGTAATAATATTGAAACCGAATATGCCATGCCGTATACCCAAAATCCTTTTAGCTAATTTAATCGGTCTTAATTCCATTACAGCCAGCGACAACCCTTAAGCTCGTGAGCTGGCGAAGGTGGGGTTGGTCGTTTTCATTGTTTCATTCCTTTAATTTCACTTTCCTTTTTTCATTCCCATCCCCGTTTCTTCTTTTTATTTTATCGTAATTCCACCCGGCGAAGAGAACAAAATTGAACAACGGATGAACAGGGGAGCGATTTTCATTCCCGATAATAATCAGGCGCGGTCGATTGGGAACGTTAAAAATCATTTTACTCTCGTCACACGGTTCTCTCGCTTCACCTCTTCGGTTTATCCAGTCGCTTCTTCACACTCGGTGTTTGCTAGACAACGCCGTCAGCTGTGTATTAACGTGGTTATTCAGATCAGTGGACTTTTATAATCGACCGCATATACTCGGTGCTCCAGTGATGACATTATAAATAGACGCATGAGCTTGCAAGCCTAATGTGGACGCGCGTCAAGGATAAGGGATATCCGTCTTTCCTGTGATCTTTATCAAAGTGCAGTGATTTATCGTCAGACGATGCGATTAATGATTATCATTTTATTCATATCCGTTACTTACAAAATTTGACGTGTCAGGAAAATGTTTTATTGCTATTATTGAACGTTTGAAGAATCCGAACACATACGTAATTATTATTTTATATGGCACATACTTACGTAAGCAATCTTGCGAATTTACTAAAATTATTGGCAACGCTGCTTGACGATGTATAGGTAGAGAAAGTAGAATCAGATATGTATTCAATGGATCGAATGCAATTCGATGCAGGCATCATGAACGTCTCTCCGTAGCCGGACAAGCACGTCGTGGTATCGCGCGCCGTCGACGATTACGAAAAGCCTGTGTGAGATATTGATTCGGTCATCCCTCTTTTTCTGCGGTAGTCACGTGAAAGAAGTGGACGAAGCTCGAAGCCGCATTCGTGCACGTATATCGATTCGACCGAGAGAGCCGACCGAAGTCTTTCGAGAACACGCGAAAAAACTAATGCTGGGTAAAAGATATCTAGTGTATAGAATCATGCCAATCCGTGCAATGGTTCTTCGGTCCACTTATAAATTTGGTTATTCGTAGTCGTTTGTTGATCGTCTGATATAGACATATGACATTTATATTTAATTGTTCCCTGTTATGCAGCATGGTCGATTATGCAACGAGACGTGCTTCTATTTAGGTTTATTTGTACGTTCAAGAATATTTTACTATTTACCCAGATAGACAGTTTACAGCGAATTTCCGACATACCAAATATAGTAAATGTAGCATGAAGTGCAGTAATGTTTTATAGCTCTTGATCTTAAATTTAGGATACGTAATGATTCAATTAAAACAGGAAATATTGTGTTAGATCAGTGCATAAGTTCGTTCATGATTTTTAAAGACAGGTCAGATCTCATTGTATTTCGGCATAGATGTTTGTCTTAGCATTATGTTACAATCCTATTGAGTACCCTCATAAGTCTCAGACATCATTGATTCAGGTTGATTTGTGCATAAGAGTGGTTTTTCAATATGAAGATAGGAAAATTCATTTTCGTTATGTTACGTTATACGAGTTTTGAAAGGGCCCAAGCGTTAGAAGCTTGCACATTTGACCTGTGCTTTAAGCAACAGAAAAATGATTTGTTCTATTTAAAAATGGTGATTTTTATCTGGACGATCAACTTCCATCTGGTCGATGTTCTAGTTGCTACGAAAAAGGAATCCACCTGCTCGTAACAGAGATGATAGAACATGACTACGTAAAAAATTTTTATCATAAAATCTAAACGTTTACATCTTATTTTAAATCAGACAAGAACCGTTGCTCTGACCCAATAGCAATCTTTATACGCTTGTTGAGAATATTCTGTTTAGAACATGATATGTGCTGCTAAAATTTACATAAAGTTTACGCTCTCCAATGCATACAGTATGATTCATATTTTCGTCGTACGTATTTCGATTATGCGATGATTATACACAAAGTGGACCAGTAAGTTTTAGCATCTGAATATTTCCGTCATTTTGGGAGATATGAACAAACTTTGTTAATCAAAGTTGCTCAGTTTAAGAAATACGATAACATATCAGTAACTGTATGTTAATAGATAAAAGAGTTAAGGAGATTTCATAGTCACCTCCACTTTCTTAAATGTCATCTATCTATCTTTACGCAAAATGTACTTTGATTTGTGTCGAAAAGTAAGGATTCTATTTGGAGCAGTCAGTCATGCTGTATAATGATTACAAGTTGCCTTCGTAACTTTATACTAAGTTAACAGCATGTGTTGTTATATTGAGAAAATTGATATCAGTATAATAATAGCTATAAAAAATATTATAAATGCATTGGTGTATTGTATGATAATATATTCAACTTATGATATAAAATTTATTTAATTTTCACGTTAATATATTTATTCAAATAAAATTTATTGCAAATTGTTTTCAATTATTAATAAATTAATGTTTACATCTCATGACAATGATGAAAGTCTATATGGGAATGTTTCATATAATAATTGATACAATATTTGATGTGTCGTTTCATACAATAGTTGACGCAATAATTAATGCAGTAATCGACGACGATTTTTCGTAGAATGATTGATGCAATAATGTATTTATTCAAATAGAATTCACTGTAAATTGTTTCCAACTTTTGATAAATTAACTTCTATATCTAATGACGATCATGAAAATTTATTTGATATTTTAGAATCATTTAATCATTCTGCTTTGAGAGACAATACCTAATTTTTTCTTCTCCCCTGCTAGTAAGTTTCCGTGTACATAAAATCTCACAAAAAGACGTCTATTGCGATAAGTTCTAGTCCGATTTTCGTTAGCCGGTCAAGAGCATCGAGTCGAATCGGTTCGAGCCGAGTATTTCGGGTGATTTTCGTCGAGGCCGCAGAAATCCCCGCGAAAACAAACAGTTCGAGTGAAAACGTTTTCCTTTCCGGCATTTTCTACCGCGCTGAACACAACGGCGCATACGTCCCCATAACTCTTGCCGGCTAACATGAGAAACGGAGTGGGTGCAACGCCTCGGGCCCGCTTTTCGTAAGCGGCTTACTTCTCTCTTGCGCGACGGAAAATTGTACATACTACGCGACTTTCCCTTGAACCTCTTCAGACGTTTCTTTCTCTTTTTCTCTTATCTCCACTGTTTCCGGTTCGTCTATAAGGCGGATACGCAAACGTGTCTATACACGCAAAACTCAGGTTCGCCGTGTTTTCCTCGTGAATTACATATTCCTTCGTACGCGTACGATGAATGGATAACAATTCGTACTCTCACACGGAGTCAATCTGGCGATCCATCGACAAGAATTTTTAGAGCAATTTCGAATAAGCTAATATTTTCTGCATACCCTTTAATCATTTAACTTATTTTAATATCGTTGTTATTAATTGCTAATTTTGTTTTCTGAGATACTCTATTTGATAATGTTAACGGTTATTAAACCCTGAATAGTTATTAGTATTTTTATATGTCACAATATCGGCTATCAAGTTTCGTGGGAGAGTTTTTAATCATTTAACGCTTTCGGTCGGCAAAAACCAACAACCTTCTCATTTTCCCCTCGGGACCAGTTATATATTTTATGAAATCTGCATCATGTACGCAACGCTGCTGCTCTTGCCAGCCGATAAGAATTATTACGTATATCACAGGCTGCGAGATTAATTGACTAATTTGAAACTTAATTATCGTGATCTCGGCGGAGGTCAGTTCTACTTCGAAAAAATCTATATAGCCATTTAAACAAAAAATTGGATAATATTGGAGACAAACAAAAAATTGGATAATATTTGCATGCATTTTCGCAGCCTAGTTTTATAGGGTCGTAACTGCATGAAAAAGATAGGAGGCTTACCTAAACGGGAAGACATCGATTTGAGCAATTTAGATCACGGTCATCTAATTTAATTGATATGTTTTCTGCTTTTTACACGAATAATAATACGTTTGAATTCGGAGAAGAACAGTGAAATTTTCACTTCGGCGAAAGTTCGACGTAGATATTGTACATAATTAATTGGATGAGGATCTTACATCCTCTGCATCAAGAATATGCCTTTACTTACTCGAGTACGCGTGCTTGCATTGGTAGTCGTGCGCTTTTTTTACTTTACCTTTGCCCATTCGTGGCCTCTGCTTGATCACTCATTTACACATCGCTCTGATCCTGATAGTCAATCATATACAATCATATGTATACATTCATGCGCGCGCGCACGAACACACACTTCCTTCTTCCTTCTCTTTCTCTTTGTTTATTTATTATATCCATCTATCTATGTACCTGTTTTTCTCTCCGTCTACTTTTTTCCTATGAAAGTTAAAACCTTTCATCGTAGCTAGTCATCATCGCTCCCACACCAACGAACAGTCCCTAGAAACAAGAAGCATTCTAAGCCTTTGCATCCGCAGTAACGCGAGTTTTCGCTTTTGGTATGTTTCCAGAACAGCAGAATCGGAGTTCGACCGCGGGAGGAACCAGGAGTGCGCCGAATAAATGACGTAAATCCAAGGAACGGAAACGCAACGTCACTCGCTAACTCGCAAAATCCCCCCTTCCCCCACCGAACCTCCCCCCTTTCTGTCTTTCTCTTCTACCGTTTCCACGTCTCTCCTCTCCCGCCCCTTGTTACCCTGACCCGACACACCACGACCCGACCCCTGAACCTTTTACGATCCACGACCGGACCTTTACCGCTTTGTCGCCTACCGCCTTCTTTCGTGCTTACTCTCGAACCTGCCCCTACTTCTCTTATTTCTCTCGTCGGACCAAGACCGGCTCCCTTCCACGATTCCGGAGTAAACCGCCACTTCTCTCGTCCCCCCTCGAAGAGACACAGCCGTGGCCTAGGGGCGACCCTTTCGAAAAATTCGAGAGCAGCCTTTCCAGCTCCGTTTCTCTTACGGTCCGCTGCTACTACTACTATTACTACTATTACCTCCTCGGAGTCGTTCCTGCTCGTCCAGTAGACCCTACACACGAGACACGCGTTAGCTTCAGAACGGGCTTGAAGGACATCACGACTGGCTTTTTTGAGACACACATATATATCTGTAATAAAACTCCAACGCAGCAACAGCCCAGCCTATATATCGAAAACGAAAAATCAACGCGCCTAAAGAGCGACTCACCTCGTGGTCGACGTTCAGCTTCTCGAAAAGCTTCCAAGCTTTGCTCGACTACTATTCTCTCTGGTTGCTAAGTGCGCCCTTTAGAGTTCTCCGACTGCATCACGCGAAGATAACGAGGAAGAATAAGGAATTGGTAGAGAGAATCGGGCGAGACGGATCGACGATTGATGGCGCTATTTTCTTCCTCGAAGAGAAGCGACTCGGCCGTGACAGAAACCAGCATCGTCTAAAGATCGGACCCAGAGCCTAATTGCAGTCGTTATACACGCGTGCATCGTCACGTCGCTGTTTCACTTTCTTTCACAGTGGCATTTCGCGTCTCCATCGCGAGCCAAAGGACGCGCAACATAATTTCCTTCCACTGGTATAATCACCGTCGCTCCGATCGCTGAACGGGTAAAACACATCATTTAATTTCAATCAAGTCTCGAACAACGGCATTGGTAAAAAGAGAAACGGACGAGAAGTTCTCGCTCTCCATTCTTTGCTAACCGCTAACGGGCAAATAGCAACTAGCTGCGCTAAGTTACGACTAACGCTGCGATTAATAACAACTGCGTTTGATAAAGAAGAGCAAGGCGATAACGGTGTGTGATTCTCAACGGTCTAAAAATAGCTTAGAATCGGCCGTAACCTGGCGCTGACAATCGTGAGCCTTTTACACACACGGTGTTCGATAAATACACGACAACGAATAGTAGACAACTAAAAGAAATATAGGAGAGAAGAAATTCGGAACAGCGTATTAAACGACGGTTCGACCTCGCGTTGAAGGAATTAGAAATATCATTGTTCGTTATCGGCCGGTTTACGCGTGTTTTACGTGATTCAACGACACGGAAGATAGTCTTAGTTCTGGAAGATCTGCAGCTCGCGTTCATGGGACAATAAGATTGCACCCAACTCAAAGAAACACTTCTTGCGAAAGGTACCATATTTATAATAGTAGCTCAGCTCAAGGCACTTGCGGAGTTTCAACGAATATTCAAATAAATGTCACGATTCGAATGAACGCGATGGAATTGTATATTTTACGAAGTGTTCATCTGAAAGGGTTGTCTCCTTGCGAATTGGTGTACTTATCCTTGCATGGATCGCGATACCGATAGAATTCAAAGTCATTTCCAGTCAAGACCGTCACGATCAGAAAAATCGATTATTTTCATCCATTGATTTCGTTGCATTGAAAGAGACAAAAGATGCGAAAGCAAACACTTCGTACGTGACAATTCACATCGTTGATGCGTAGATGAATGCAAGGTTTCGAGTGATTGAAAACGGAAGCCATACAAGCGTGACGTGTGGATGCGTGTGAGGGAGACAGACAAAGAGTGGGAGGGTGAGAAGCAAGTGTGCGAGTGAGCGAGAGAAAGAGATGGAGGAAGAAAGAACGCGGTAATGAGTGAAAGAACGAACATGAACAAGAGAGATTGATGTTGCGCGAACGAATATTCTAGTTCGACGAAATTCCCGCAAGTGCCAATGGGTATTGAGGGCCGGTTTGAATAAAGCAAAACACTTGTATCGTTGGCAAGATCAGCGGGTGCGAAGTGAACAGCCTACTAAACAGGCTACGCGGAGAGAACGCAGCATCCGAAAACGAGAGCAGAGGGGATAAATTGAAATCGGTAGAAAAGCCGTACATTGTGTTATCCCGCCGAAGGAAGGAGGTCCTACATACCGTCTTCCAGGACTTGGAATTATGGCAATGGTCAACATGAATAACCTACTGAACGGCAAGGACTCCCGATGGTTGCAGCTAGAGGTTTGCAGGGAGTTCCAGCGCAACAAGTGCACCAGGCCCGACACGGAGTGCAAGTTTGCCCATCCACCAGCTAATGTCGAGGTGCAGAACGGACGGGTCACCGCTTGCTACGACAGTATCAAGGTAACAAACCATTGTATAATCGCGTTCACAGAGATAATCGAGCTTTTTTGCTATTGTCTCTAGCTCATCTTATCTCCTTCCATTTTGCTCACACGTATATTTGCATTGCACTTGTCTGTAACGTAGGATACGTTATCATACTTATTATTTATGAATGACTCATATTTTCGAGAAAAACCGGATCTTTATTGCTCGCGGTAGGTTTGTTTTAAGACCGGGCTAGAGTCACATCAGATCTCTTGTTTTTTTCAATATAATACCGAAAGTATCAAACGTAACCGTATGCATTGAAATTCTATTTTATTAACTTGTCTGAAGCGATTGACAATAATTTCTTATGGAAATTCATTCTGGCGATTTCCAATTTCGCGCAACAAATAGGGAAAAATTCTAATAAAGCAGTCGCTTTCATAAATTGCTCCGGGAAGAGCAAACACGTATACCTACGTAGGAGAAAAGAGACATGCTGGGCGCCGCCCAAATGTCTCGCCTTCCGTAGATATTGAACTGGAGGGTTAAATGTGCAGTTATTAATAGCGACAATTACTCAGCGCGTCATTGAGTTGGGATGAGAAAGAGCTTTGAGACGCACTTGATGAATTAAAAGAGAAGTTTAGATGGGAGAGCGCCAATCTAAGATTCGAAGGTCTTCTCCCGACAATTTTATAAGAACTTTCATATTCATATATATAAATATAAATCATTTCTTCATTCTTCTCCCGACAATTTTATAAGAACTTTCATATTCATATATGTAAATATAAATCATTTCTTCAAGTTAGTTATCTTTCTTCATCTTGGGGATATGTATAAACTTCGATGATTAAACGATAAGATTATTCTTGTCGATTGTCGCGGTCATAGAGAGGAATGTATTTCGTATGATTACGGTGTACGTCATCGTCGACAATGATGTATATGACGGTACGCGAGTTCGGAGCACGTCGTCGTTTAATTCTGGAAGCTTTTAATGTCTGTGGAACCTCGGCTGAAAGGCCGCGTTGTTCGTCGATTCTCGGGCATCTCTTCGCTTCGTTTGCTGCTCGCACGTTCTTACTCAATAGTGGTACTCGTTACGTTTAATCGTTTTAACCGAATAGAACAGGATACTTATAAGTACGGGTATATGTTTAAATGAACTCCGTGCTTTTTATATGTACACATATAGTCATTTATATGTAATTGTTTTTTTACATCTACAAATTTTTATTAGAGACGATAACAAAATAGTTAAAAATCATCTTCTTCACATTTTTATTCGAGACTTCGACGAATAGCAATTTTTTCAAATTTCTACCGTCCCATAGAAAATTAAATTGTATGGTCCAATATTATAAAAGATATTCCGTTTTAAAATATATTCGAATATTAATGGGAGCCATTGTATATACAAGAATTCGTGGAATTGTGTCGTTTCTCTTATAAAAATTAGTATTTTTTAACGAATCACAAAATTCGATTTTCCCTTTATCTTTTTGCCATAGCGTTCTATACATTTTGTAGATTACGCGGTAAAGTTACTTAAATTCAAACAAGTCGAAGATTAAGGAGTGCGAATTAATGTCAGCCGGAAGAAATGTTAGCAATAAGCTATTATTAGGTACACGGACCTTTTACCGGCTATGAGAAACCATCCTACATAAGGGGAAGCGTGTCTCTCTAGCTGTGTCTCGTTTCTTACGCTTGCGCCGCCGTTTAGATGATAGAAGTTAGCCTCTCCTTACGCTCTACCGATGAAATAAAGGCTCATTTTTCGAGCCGGGAATAAAAGGGTACGGTCTGTTACCGTTTCGTACCTCTACTCACGTTTAATGTTCGAGAGTATCGTACGGTAAAAGCTAGATTAATTTGCTGGAAGGAAGGAGATTGTGGCCGAAAATTGAGTTTATTCTTTCGCGTTACTATCGAGGGAATCGCTAAGAGGGTTCATGACGCGTAGGTAACGATACCCTTCGGGCCTGTAGATTATCCTCATGCGCACAGACAATTCGCGTGATCGTACGAGTTACGTACACGGATTTTGCCACGATACGTGTACAGAGTGCCCCTAAAATACTAATGTCGACCTCACATACTATTTTCGGAAGCAAGTGAGAAAAAATGTTAATGAAGGATTCAATTTAGGAATTTATGTTGGCCCCAGTTTCTGCAATCGCTTTAAGCATTTATATTCGGATGTTACAACGTGTTAAACTGGAGCGTTGTATACTTCGTACATTCAATTCCAATTAGGCAGATTGGATGGGTGCTGAATATTAAAGTAGAGCTGAAATTTAATCGTTGCCCATCCTATTTCGTCAGGATATGGGTAAAATACTGGACTCGGCCACCGTGGAAAAGGCCCCGTGTTAAAAAGGAATGTGATTGGGTCAGGAAATGGTGGGCTGATGAGCATCTTTGTCTATCGTTCTTTCTATCTTATCCATAGACACGGGAGTCTCCGGCAGAGCCATCAGCCGCCCTTAGGCGACTGGCGACCGCTAGCTCTTATTCACTCCGGCGTTATCGATTCCAATTACCTTAAAACTTTCAATTAATTTGACTGTCAACCGTTTTACGCGCTGGAGAACGACGACATCGGGTGCCAGCCATTTCTCGGTCGCAGATGTCGCGAGGTTCCCCGGTCGAAACTCCTGCCAGTGCGTCTGTTTTATCGGTTCGTCACGCCCCGGCGACGATTCGACTTTTTCTCCTTTTGTCGCTCGCACCGGTTCCCCGTCGTTCTTACACACACGTACCACCACCCACCTAACCCTTGGAACGACGGATGCGTTTTTTATCCCTCCCACCTGTTCCAAATTCGCATGAGTCTAGTATGATAAAAGCACGTTCTCACGTTGATAACGCGGTCCCGAGTATATGTGGGAAACGGATCGGTGTCGACAGACATGAGGTGATCCATAAACTCATTGTGAAAACTCATATACCTTAAACCTACCGACAGTTTTTCTGCACTAAGTTTTTTACATTTGAGTGCAATCTAGTGTTGGCATTGATACTTCAGTTTGGTAACAACTTCAGTAATAGGATCGAACGAATTTCGTTTTCTTTTTATTTCTTATAAAAGAATTTAGAACCCGCTGCATGATAGATTCAGTGTTAATCAGTTGAGAATTTTCTCTCAAATGATATTTCCAAAGTATTATAAATATAAATGGGAACATTATGTAGATTAAATAAGATTTAATTGAAATGTGCAAAGGTATATTTCAACAGAACATTTGTTTTCTCTTAGTTAGTATCGCTATATGAGAATATCGTTCATCGCCAGTGCCGAAGAAATCGAAGTATCCTCGCGGGAAAAACTGGCAGTGCCCCAAAACTCGCGTTTCCGTACTGTACCGCATCGCGATTGGTGCAGGACTGATCGCATGGTGTACCGAGAGGAGTATCTCGCCGGGTTAGAACGCTTAGTTTTAGTAACATTAGATTCTTGCGGGATTCACCGGGCAACGGCAGCGTCGTATTTCCGTGATGAGATCAGAAAATCGCATTAGTAGAGAACGAAAGCGAGAGAGAGAGAGAGACGATGATACGTTCCACGGCAGCGGACCTGAAAAACATAGTTAACAGCTGTTACTGTCCTCGCTACCACTATCGGCGTCGGTGTCGGCGTCGGCGTCGCTGTCCCGCTTCGTCTTACTCTCACTTTCTGTTCTTGTCGCTCTTCTTTTCCTGCACCTGTCACGTCCGTTAACGCGAGACTAAAATACGAAACGACGTACTCATGAACGGAATCGTCCCAGGAACAAAACCTCTCGTTCGACATATATAGCAACTTTTGGTTTCGTTGATATCAAATGGCAAGCGTTTCGGTATTAAATCTTCCGAAATTTTTTTTACACGATAGATGTCCATTGAATAGACTGATTTCATTATGTATTAATTGACATGATACGACGATTAGGGTTTTGGAAGCGCTACCCTAATTCGAAGACCGTAATTATCGTAGGAAATGTTTGGATTGAAAAAAAATAGACCCTCGACCGCAATTGGCCGACATCGAGAAGACACTTGTCACCACGTTGCAGCGAGCCAAGGGGTGAACGTTCTTCAACCCCGTCTTTCAATGGAGGGCAAAGGCCGACGCATCGCCGAAGCGTTTGACCTTTTTTTTCCCTGTAAGGCACGTGATCCCCAGCGTGCCACGAGTTCATTCGATTCATTTGTTGGCACGGTACGTCGTGCGTTACGACGTCTCTGAAAGAGAGACAGCCGGGTGGGGAAGAAGTAGACGGGGCCGAGGATTTATATTTATCGCGGTCTACGCTTCCCTGTTGGTCGTAGCTTCTTTTCAAGCGCGTACAGAATTCGGAGTCATCGCGTTAGCGCACTTTTAGGGGCGGGTAGAGAATAGGAGCTCATAAAGTCGCGTGATATATGTTAAAGAGGGCGATCAACGCGGGCATAGGAAGCAGCGCTGGGGAGAGAGATATTCGTGCATTGTTAGTTTCGGGATCGATTCGAGTCGGCGACGACACGCGGCAGACAGACAGACAGACAGGCAGGCCTTCCTCTCTATACCTACAAGACCGACCATCCAACCAACCGTAGAGACAGACGGGCAAGCAAGCAGCCAGGCAGACTGGCAGGTTCTCGTGTATTACTTCTAGCCCACAAACTATGCCTCTTCTCCTTCTCGATATTACCCTCTCTGATATCTCCGAGTGGAATATCTTACGTAGGAACCGTCTCTAAACGTTTGCCATTCCAGCCGAGTGGAAATTCATTTAATTGCCTTGAAAGATCAAGAGCTCTTCTCTCTCTTTGGCGTATCTCTTACCTTCATCTCCTCTTTTCTACCTTTGGTGCAACCCTTTTTCACTATCGCTTTGTTTTTCGACTTCTTCTTGGCGATGTACGATTTTCACTCATACGTATAGTAAATCGTCACGTAAATTCATAATAATTACGAGCACAAGTAATGAAAAATAAGATTATTGCTAACAGAAATGTTATTATAAATACACAACACAGTTAACTGATCATTAATAAATAGA